GTCATATAATGTAATTATTATTATTTATAAAAGTTATAGAAGTAGTCTTCTTTATTTAATGAAATTCAAAATAAAATTTTGAGTATAAATATTTACAAAATACACACACATGTTTTTTAGAATTCAATTTTCTCATAATAATTCTTTTTTTAAAAAAAAAATGATTTAGCAATTGCCAAAGAATAAATCCCTTACATAATCAAGAGATGTTTTCTAATTTTCGTCCTAAAGCTTTATAGTTTATTTAACTTACTATGCAATAGAAAAATATTTTACAATAAGTTCATTTTTGAAACATAACAAAAAAAAGTGATAAAAACACTATCATAGTTGACAATAATATACAAATAAATAACATGTCGAAATTTTAAAGAATAGCTATAATTTTATTATCTAATCATCAATAAAATCATTTAATGATGTGATCATTATTTTTTTAAATAATAAATAATATTAATTTTTTAAAAAAATATTAGTGTTATATAATTAAATAAAGGTTAAAAAATATTACTCGACAAATATTAATTATAATGGATATCAGTAAAATCATTGCATAAATTATTTAAGGAAAAAATCTTTAAGATCATCTTTAGATAGTAAATGTAAATATGCAAGCATTTAATGCATATAGTAAAAAATTTCCAAATAAAGTATGCATTAAATGTGTGTTGACTTTTCTTGCTATTGTTTTTGGTAAATAGGTTGGCTTTTAATATATATATAGATAACTTGGTATATAAACCAACCTCAATTCGTGTGTATAGATCGGTGAAATAGCATTTGTAAAGCGCTAACGTGAATTCTCATGATTACTTACAAATGGTGAAAGGAGTTTTTTTTTTTTCAAAGGTAAAGTGGTATTATTTTTTTTTATGGGTAAATTGCACCAAACCCCCATGTGTTATACGAAACTAGTACAGTACCCGTGCGATGCACGGGGGTTTATTATCTCCGTCCCTTTTAAAAAGTAAATCTCTCATACAGTTCAAACTAACAGAAACATCATGTCATTAAAAATAAAAAGTTTAAGAAAATAAATAAAAAATAATCTATATATTATTGAACACTTTTCTTATATACAACGTTCATGGTTTGATTCGTTGACACATCATCATCGCCACAAATTAAGATTTTCAAACCATTTCCGTTTGCAACACGGGAGACAACAACATACAACTGACCATGACTAAACACTGGTTTCTTAGGGGAAAAATAATTCATGAATAAACAACAAATACGTTAATATAATTTATACAAATATAACATATAAATAATTATATATTTGCAATTTGACAATCTTGGTTTGGCCATGGATAATGATTCTCCATTTTCCTATAGTCGATTTGTAGATGTCAATATTGCTTTCAACTTGATAGTTTGTCAAGACATACTTACCACATTTCTTCAATATCACCGACGAATTTTTGGATATTCACAGGTCGAATTATGCCAGTAATTCGTAATCTCTAAGACAAAACATATTAAATTATTAAATAATTTAATAAGCACAATAAAATAACTTTAAATTTAAATTAAATACAGTATGAATGTGTGAACATATTACCTCCGAATCGTGAAAGATAATCTCTAGCAAATTCCGGTAATTGCGTACGTCTTCAACTCGTTGGAACATCCTAATTATGTGTAGCTTGATTGGTGACTTATTGGATCTGTGGATATCCTGATGACTCCAAAATTCAAAGGCACGTTGAGATGATGTTTAAAAGCTTCGTAAAAAAAGTTGTAGTGCGGGATGTGTATGATGTATAATATATGTTGTTCAAGTTTGTTAATATTTATATAGTAATGATTAACTTTACGATTCTTGTGGATTTTTATGGATGTTTACGGATTTATTGCTTGTACTAATCTTCTTAAGGGACAATACCCGATTTATTTTATTATGAATATCACCGTCTATTCCAATCGGATATCCATATAATAATGATTAGTTGGCAAAATAAAAGATAATTCTTATCTCTTAATATATGGCATAAAATCGATAAGACAATTTGGTAAGCCTCACTATGCGATTTTGTAGCTTTTTTTGTTATTAAAAATGAGATGTTTTATATAATAATGATTAGTTGGCAAAATAAAAGATAATTCTTATCTCTTAATATATGGCAAAATATCGGTAAGAGAATTTGGTAAGCCGATTTATGCGATTTTATAGCTTTTTTTGTTATTAAAATTAGATGTTTTTGGAAAAATAAAAAAGGAATCAGCATAAAAACAGAATCAACTAAAAAATCAGCATAATATGAGAGAAATCATCATAATTAGGTAACAAAATCCGAAAATTCTTGGAAGGCAATGCACATGCGAACACAAAATTTGCACAGAATCAGCTAAAAATAGTTTAAAATTACTTAATGGAAGGATTGATTTATGATATTCCGTATTTTTATGTTAATTAATAATTAATAATTAATTTAATTTGTGGGACCTTCTTGATTATTACTTAAAGTAGTGATTATTACTTAAAGTAGTAAGTCAAAGGATTATTTTTTGAAGTCAAACTTACTTTTTTTATATTTTTTCAACAACCTCTTTATATGATTATAGATGTGCGCGTTACTACCCTGTGTTTTAAAAACTGCACTAGACCCCCTTATGTTTAAGTACGTGTTGCAAGCTTCCCCCATACCGTCCAATATAACGGCGCGTGAAAGACACTTTCTCCAGATGCGAATATTATTCAATTTTTTTATTTTACAGAATTAATAATTTACATTTATGCCATCTTGAATGTTGCAAAATCTAAAATGTATAAATGTAGGTACCAAGGATCGAACCTGGGTGGGAGGAAAAGGCACACCCACTCAACCACTAGGCTACATGAATGGATGTAAAATTCATTGAACATAAATATATTTATACATCATACGTAAATGAATTAAATATTTTAGAATAAATAAAATAAAATAACAGTATAATAGGCCAATTAGCTATAAATTAAATAATTAATACTAATAATAACTTCCAAAAAATTAAATTAACATAAAATAATAAAAAATTAAATTAAAATAAAGTAAGACAAAATATAATATAATAGCGTGAAATTAAAATTTAATAAATTTACATTTTAGTTATCAAAATAAATTAAATAAATAAATTTTAAATGAAAATCTAATACAAAAATTGAATTAAAAAATAAATAAAATTAAAATAAACTAATTAAAGTAACATAAAAATAATAATTATAAAATAAATAAATTAAAAAAATGATAAAGCAAAATAAATAATAAATAAAGTAACCTATTATGAAATAATAAATTAAGTAAATATAAATATTAAATTCATATAAGAAAATAAAAAATATTATTCATCAAATAATTATATTTTGGTTTTCTCTTACATACAATATGAATAAAAAATTTGAAAATAAATTATAATTTTT